CAGTCAAATTCAAAGATGAAAATCGACTAGAAAGAATAGTCTTAACCCAAGAGAAAGTAAGGAGAAGACCGTTGGTACACGTAATATGTATCGACCTGGAAAACTTCGGCTTGTAAGAGGTAAGAAAACCCTGAAAATATAGAAGAAAAACCTTTATGTGAAAAGCTTTTGGAATTCAAGTGGAATTCACTGAATTTAATTTTTTGTTATGTTACTCATCTCTTAGCAAATGGGGTCTTGATTCGTAAAAACTTTGAAATGCAACTGGAAATATATTTAGAAAAAACTTTTATCAATGGTCAAAGATCTGGAATCCAAGAAATGGTTACATAAGGCCAGTAATCTGGAACGAGAAAACAGACAAGTTAAGTAAATACCTGAAACAGAATGACATCAAAAGTTAGTAAACTTATGAGTTTTGCCAGAAGCAAGGACTCCCAAAGCGAAACAGAAGCAAAACAGTGTCGGAATTTTTTTTATTGAATTTACTGTTTTTTTACAAAATGCGTAAGTCACTAAACTATACAAAAAACTAACTAACGAAAAAATCCTAGGACATTGTTGACAACGGTGTTTTACAATTCAAAAAAACTGAAATATTTTCAAGGAAAAAAAATCCAGTAACATTTTTGCGCCAAAACTAAAAATATTATGCGCATGCGTAACGAAAAGGAACGCGGAATTCGTCATCTGCAGTGAAAAATTAAAAGGAAGGTTAGTATGGAGACCCCTGAAAGATAAAAGTTAGTAAACGTAAATGAGACAGTAATTACTTCTGAAATAAGAAAATTAAAATTAATAGCCCTGAAACAAAAAGTTCGAACTATTGAAGACCGAAATAACCTGTAAAGGAAGGGTGAATGATGGAAAAATAGCCGAAATTGAACCGAAAAAAGGGGTGGATATTCCACGAGAATTCAACAGAAGTAAGCGAGCTGTGTCAGCAGCTCATTGAAAATAGGATCACAAACCCTACCGTAAATTACTTACAACTACCGGCTCGGGAATATCCAAGAACCGAAAAACCCACAACCATTTAACCCAATCGTACAACCAACCATAAGTTTATTAGTATATATACTCTTATTTTACAGCCATGAAAAAATACGTTTTGTCGAAAATAGAAATTATGTACAACTAGAAAGACACCATCCTTTAAATTAAGCATGTGTTAAAGAAAAATAGCCGACATTTAATCGAAAAGGGGCTGGATATTCCACGAGATCTCAACAGAAGTAAGCGAGCTGTGTCAGCAGCTCATTAAAGATAGGATCACAAACCCTACCGTAAAGTACTTACAACCACCGGCTCGGGAATATCCAAGAAGCAATACCCACAACCGTCATAAAACACAGGAAAAACTTTCATAATATTTGTAATTATTGTTATTGATTTCAATTATATGTATATTTATAGTATGTGTTTATTAGTATATTCTCATTTCTTTACAGTAATAAATTGGACCTATACAATCAGTTCTAATCTAGCAATAATAACAACTTGTTATTCCTAATTATTATTTTCCACCCAAATGAGAGAGGGGAAAAAAGAAAATCCTCCTTAGTTGATATAGGAAAATATTAGCTATTTGTAGATATATGAGAACACAATTTCAGTTTGAAACTTAAAACTACCAATTGCACACTCGTTCATTCATAGACTACATACATCCCTACTACTCCCAAAAATATTTTTGAAATATTAAAGAAAATCACTGTTTGGAAACTAAGTTTCATAACTATAAATAATGGATCCTAACCTAGTGAAACCTCTAAGTCGAAATGCGTCGAAAACCGGGTCGAAATGAATGAAACCTATGTAAAGTATATCTTAGATAAAAATCTATGTTTTGCGATTGTTACTTTAAGAACAACAATCTTTTAAGCCCAGTATTTTGATAACAAAACCACGGGAGAGAATTGATCACATTTACTGTGAACAATTAATAAACATAAATAGCTATAAATAATAATAATAAATAATGATAATGATAGAAAATTCTAGGCTAAGAAGCTACCACTGATTCAAACTATCGCGGGCTCGCAACCAAGTTTGGTTGTTTTTGAAAGACTGAAAAGTAAGTTGAATGCCACGACGCACCACAGAAAAAATAAATACACATTAAAATGGACTATTTATTTAGGTTAAAGGATATTGCCGTGGCATTCCGTGAACGAGGTTAGTACCAAACTTATCTCTGGAGGATTGCTATTTCAATGACACGTGCGTAGCCAAGGTTTGTTGTTCCGAATTCGAAAAAATGAAGGAAAGAAAAAGAAAAAGAAAATGGACGAAACGAAGGAATGAAAAGAAGAAAATAACGAATGAAAGGAATAAATAAGGAAAGAATCAGTGAAATAAATGAAGAGGAATAAAAGATAATCCGAATAAATGCTACAATTTTCAAATTTTTACCGTTTAGTAAACGAAATGCCAATCTTAAATTTAGATACCGCGAAAATGATTTATTTTTAAAAATCCAAGACCAGTTTCAAGCTCACTCTTGCCTGCTTCGGCGCCCTTTTCCGTTCTTGACTCCAGAGCCGACGAAAGGGAACCCAAAAACAAGACCTTGGTCAAACCTTGACTGTGCCAAAGTTATTGATGTTGCAGGTGACCAAGAAACCAGTCACTTTCCCCCTCGCTATCATGGAGAGAAAAAGTGACCGTTCACCTGTGTCACATAATACATGGCCGGTGCTAACCTTAGAACCGAAAGACCGAACTAAACCCTAGGCGCAGTTTAAAGATGGTGTGTGAGATGAAAACACCGACCAGCACTGCATAAAAGACAAATAGCAAATCCTCCATTCTAAATCAAACAAGACGTATTGAATAGATTTGTTGATCCACGTCGTCTCCAGGTCGTCTCCAGTACAGTCCAAGGTCGCCTTCTTAAAAAAAACTAACCTAGAATTGGCCAATTGACCCTGGCAAATGCCAGTCAAAAACACTAAACCCCACCTAGATTTACACGTGGTAGCTTCTCCTATACATCTGTTAGGGCTTCGTATACTCAAAGCCCCGCTAATCCTAGTCCTAGTCCTAAGTAATTCCGACTTGCAATAACCAAGAGCCAAAATTTTTGTACCAAAAGTTTTAGAAATGATTTTTGCAGGTCAAAGAAATGTTTTTAGTGTTCCATATTTGATTTAGGAACGTGTAACCCCTTAATAAATACAAGGCACTAATACCTCGAGCAAGCAAAAAGCGAAACGTAAACTCAAAAGTGCCACCAATAAAATATAAGTTTTTGGCAAAAAAAAATTGGGAGAAATTTTTGGGAAAAATGTTTGGAACTTGCTCAAGAATCGTGTTAACACAATTTACTCTTTTTTAAGTTGACCATTGTGGCGAGTCTTCATGAAGCTTGCTTGATGCCAAGTACCTGGAATAGAAGATAAAATGTGAATGGTGTGTCGATACGTGTTTATACAAATAATGGACAAATTTTTCTTACACTGATTACGTAAAAAAATTGGAAATATCATTATAGTCAGTTGTTCGACACTATTTCTCTTTGATAAATCGTGCGTTTATGCGAACGGCAAAATAACTGGAAATGATAAGATGATAATTGGGGCATAATTCATCGAAAGTTTGTAAAAATATTTTTAAAAATTCCGTTCTCTAAAACGCACGCACGCTGAAGAACTAAACTGAACTACAAGCAAGTAGAGGAAACAAGAACTTTGGCTGTTCCTTACGTTAAAATCTACATTGCATGGCAATTCAGTTCATAGAATATAAGTTGAGTTTTTGAAATATTGACGGTAAAATCATAATAGTTTTCTTTTAAATTTGACTACACTTTTGTAGCTTATTATTTACAAGAAAGTTCAAAAATGTTCTAAAAAACAGGGCATTAATTTCAAGCTTACCATTTATTCCTCTTGCTGATTCATCCAAGGCTTCTTTTCGAATGAAGCCGAACGAAGGCAAGCTGATTTATAAATCACGAGATATTTTGATGTCAATCACACCATTTCGTCCAATCAAATGCTGTTATCAATGAAGCACGTGAATTGCTGTACTATGATTGGTGCTTCAAATAGAGGTGAGAAGTCATACTGGCTTGTGAATCTCGTGCATTCTCTATATGGTAACTTTTTTATGCAAGTCGGTGTAGTTGCAAAGAATTGTTTTCACGGGAATCGTTATCTCACGTAGTACAAGCTACGCTAATTAATTAAAAACCAAAACATTTGAAAATGCTCTTCAGAGTGTTAAGCATTAATAAAGGCGGAGGCCTATAGAGCGTTCTCACTCACGTGAGAAGGCAGCCAGAAACTTTCTGCATAGTATTTGCATAAAAATAGAGTTCAATTCCCGGAAGATAGAAAGTGTATTGTTTTGGTATCCAATAATGGTCGCTGTGACGCCACTGAACGCTCTATTGTATAAGTCTAAAAAGGCTTAAAACGGTGGAGGTGGGTTAGATCTTCGCATGTGGGTGTTGACTCGAACTTTTTTCACTATTGCGACAAAAACACACAAGTTTCCCTTTTTTAAATCATATTCCTTTCCCACTCTTATAAATATTTTTGTAATTTTTATATTTTTCTTTTTGATATGTGTATATAAAATAAAAGTTCAAGCTAATGCGCAGATGATGATAATGCATTATTTCCGAACGGGGTATCTGCGTTTTTGATCGTTTTAGTATGGACACGGGAACAAAAAACGCTTGACAAATGCTACTGATGGCCGGTTGCAAGCATTCCCAAGAGAGTTAAAAGACAAAAACATGGCGACCATTGTGGTGTCGTTAAAAATGGATGCTAATGAGAAATCTTTGTTAAATGGTACCATGGCCGCGATGACGCAACGTGCAATCGAAGAATAGCAGGAATAATATTGAGGCATGGGGGCTTAATTAAACAGAATTTGTTCGCTTTTCAAAAGAGGAACCGAAGGAGTGCGCACATTTTCGGTGACTGGTTCAAAGCTTTGGAATTCTCATTTTCACACCTTTTCAATATAAATTTTAACGAATTGTGAAGGGGGAAAGTGTAATTTTTATTTATTGTTATTTTTATCTTTTTAGCTAAAATATGTAAAAGCAGGATGGACTTCAACTTATGGTTGTAGTCAATTTGGATTTTTTTTCTTTGATATTTTTTTAGATTACAATTTAGTATCGTTTTCTTGGGTTGTCTTTAAAGGACATTCCTCATCTTCTTTAGTCAAGCCACGTTCTGGTGGAAGAACAGGCATCATCAGGGTGCGGATACGCTAAAAGAGACAAGAAATGGTGATTTTTTGATGAAAATTAATACAAATTATTGATTTATACCATTAGCATACCCATCTTGCCTCCATTCTGAATCTCACCCATTCTTCATTTTGTCTTCCCATTTTTCTTATCATTCTTTCCCCCCTCTTATTCCCAGTCTTCCTGAACAATCCCACTCATTCTCAGTCTCCTTATTGTTGGTTCAATTCCCAATCTCTCTAAACCTTACATTTTAACTCCAAATTTCCAGTTGATACGACTTGTTGTGGCTACTCACATCAAGAATGTTTCCTTTTTCCTTCATGATTTTAATAACGGCGCAGATTGGTACACAGGAAATGGACGAGAAGGCCATACACCAACCGATTGCTTCACCCCATGTGGGATAACTGTACACCTTGTTGTAAACTAAAGGCTTGTACGTCACGATGGTGAAGATGAAGATACCCTGCGATAGATTTGGTATAAAATAGGATTTGAACTGATATCAGTATCATTGGAGGCAACCATGCCCACTAGCCCACCAGCCCACCAGCCCACCAGCCCACCAGCCCACCAGCCCACCAGCCCACCACCTTTAGAACTATTTTTGACCTTAATAATTAAACCCGGATGAACTTGGATGACGCTGACAAACCCTGTCAATAGATCTATGACCCTGCGTGGTTAAAGGTCAGAACGTATACATTTTAGACTAATTAGAAAAACAGAACCTTGACACTGACCAGTGAGAAAGCAGGTGTGATAAAAATCCAGCAGACTTTCAGCCATGGATTGATACGAAAGCCAATCATTCGTTCCATGTTCTCATAAAACCGTTCAGCACCTGAATGGAATGAATGAAGTAAGAGTAATTTGATAAAGGTTGACCCCCGAACCCACCACCCCTCTTTCCCCCGTCCCCTTCTCCCCCGCTACGATGAAAAAATGAACGGTCCATAAGGAAGTCTATTATCAATCATTCTTACCGTATATCCAACCAATGGCAATACACTGGAACAAAGCCACCCAAAGAATAGCAGTTCCGCTGACCGCATAGGAATCAAACAGCTGCAGCACATAAATGCCCCCCTGAAAGAAATTGTCATGGTGGAATTTGATATATGAATTTCAAGATCTTTTACGATAAGATAGAGGCTTTGAACCATCACTAGATTTAAAAAAAGCAATTTATGTGCAACCTACAGCCACCTAATTACCCGTCAATTTCGTCAACTTGGTACTGTAACGTTTCGTTTCTTTTGTTTCTTTTGTGCAAATGAGCGTTTAGCTGTCTTTCAATAGTAGTCAGGATTTTCAGAAGGAAGGAAGGGGGGGGGGGGGAAAGGAAAGGGGGGGGGGGGGGGGGGGGGGTCACAATTTAAAAACATTTTAATCCGCCAATTACGCCGTCGAAACGCTCGAACCAAAAATAAAACCGGCATTACATTTTCATTTTTTTAAATTACCGTATGAAATCTAAAAACCAGCCATTTTGTTGCCACGAAGGAGGACCCTGGCCCCCTTGGCCCCCCCTGGCTACTTTGCTACTAGTAGGCTATAACTTAATAGTACCTCATCCAATCAAAACGCAGTATTTATGATAGACCACTGACTAATTTTTTATATATATTTTTCTTCTTCACGAGGTTTGTCGTCACTCTACTCGCGAAGTTCAAGCAGTGCATGCTTACTAGAAAATAAAAGTCAATGTACCTGGGTAACCATTGTCAATCCCAGAAGATACCACACGATACAGAATCCAAATATGAACAATTCCTTGCGATATCCGCCACGAAGGAATCGTGGGAACATATCCGACACCGCTGTGACAAAGCCTTCTACAGCAACAAACTGTAAAAGAAACAAGTAAGTTACTACACAATAGAAGATCTTTGTAGCAACCATGTTGGAAGGCAGCATTAATATGCAAATATGTCGGTATAAAAAAAAACAGGAAACAGGAAGGAAGGAAGGAAGGAAGGAAGGAAGGAAGGAAGGAAGGGAGGAAGCAAGGAAGGGAGGAA